TCCTAGTCGATACTTCAAGAATAAAACGGCAATTCCAGTTTCTTATTTGATTTGCTTACCCGGAGACACATTGTTGTTGATGCCTGACCCAAGCCCCGAAAAAATGAACAAACAAATTGTGGGTATAATCCGGCGACCCTCTTTTTTACCACCAATAAATATGAACTTCCAACACCAAAGTTAAGCCCCGATGGGACCGGCACTTTGTACTTCTCTTTTTGTCACCCTACCTTGTGCGAATTCCTTTGTAATGTCCGGGGTCCTGACCCGAATTCTTTCAGCTCTCAAAACCAAACGAGACACCAGACAGCAGCCAATCAATCAATGCAAAAGCTTTGCGAATTCTTTAAGGACTGTTTTTTTATTTAATCAAATTTAAAAGTCGTTGTGCTTTAAGGCCTGAACTGCAGGTGTCAGAAGCAAGTGACGGAAAAGGCAAATTAGGGAATGAACAAACCTCCCCTGGAGCTAGAAAACGATTTGGGCCAAGTGCAAAAACATAAACAAAAGAGGCCAAGACAACAATCGGCTTTTACCATTTCTATGCTAAACAACAAACCGAAAATTACATTCATTTCCTGCTTCCGGCATCACGTAGCCGCACTGTGGTCGCCAAGGTCGCAGCTTTAGAGTGTCTGGGCTTGTTGAACAAAGTTTGTTCAAATTACCAACATCCTGAGTGGAAAGGGCATAGCTAGAAAGTCCTGTTTGTAGGCCAAAGAGGTCAGTCAGTGGGATTTTTTAAATTAGTGCGGAAAATAGAGACAAATTGTTTTTTTTTGCAAAACTGCTTGACTTTTTCAGGGTAACTTTGGTTTACAAAGTTAAATATCTCAAAATTAAAAGAAGGCTTGCCATTTCTAAGGTCAGCTTGCAGTTTTATTTATATTAACTTCATTAAAGACTTTTCCTTTGCGTAGAAATCGATTTATTACTTTATGAAAAAGTTTTTTCTATCTGGAAAAGTCATTGGGCAAACATATTCATTATTTGCCTAGCAGACACATAACAAATAAGTTAATTCTCTTGACAAAATGCGATAATGCCAGGCAAATTGTTTACTCCAGAGGACACACCTAAGTTATCTCAACTTTGACCCCTCATTATGCAAGTTTCGGTCTCCTCCCACTACTTTTGAACAGTTGCCATATATAAATATGACCCATTCCTGCAACCTTTACCAATATCACTATTGCTCCCACATATTTTATTATTGTAGCAGCAAACTGAACTTCCGTTGAAAAAGAAAAAGTGGCAAAAATTTAATCAACATGACTTTGTCGGTGTTGTTTGCCTTTGGTTAGGAATAGCGCCTACACAACCTCATGGATTCCGCAAAGGGAAATGCAAACATAAACCAGGACGTGGGAGGAGGGAATCCGTGCGTCGTTTTCAAAAGCAGCAGCTGAGTCCTTTTCAGTTTAATTAATGTCAGTGTGAACAAAATGAAAACAATTCAGATTTAGATTCACATGGGAACTTGTGTTTTTTTGCTTTTAAAAGGGTATTTTTAGATAGAATGGAGTATAAAGTAGTTATAAAATGACACATTTTTAATTAATATGGTAAATAAGATGGTATACTAATGTATAATCACCTTTCCAATGGTTAATTTTGATTTAAAAGCCATACTAATACTAATAAATACTATATGACTTCTTACTTATATCTCATAAAATCATATACTTCGTTCTTTATGGGTGTCAAAAACCCAAAGCATCAGCTAAATGCCTACCAATTTAATTCCATTAGTTATAAACATTTTTGGGCACAAAAAACTAACCACATGGCTAGGCCAGTGGCCAACAACAGGGCGTATGATTAACGCCCGAAAGCCACAAAGTAGGCAGCACAAAAACCACAAAATGTCAGCCAACGGCAACAACGGCAGCCAAAGTCTCATCAAATATGTTGATAAAACACAAAAGATTACAGCCGAAGCCCAGGGTCAGGGTAGAAAAGGGTCCTAGGAGCAACCCAGAGCACGGCCAGACCAGGACGAAGGCATCTAATGTGTTTGTCAAAACGTTTTAATGCCCTTACCAGGGGTTGGGGCCCCATAAAGCCAGCTAGATAGCTTCGGCACTGTAACCTTTTTTTTTTTTTTGGAGGACGGTGGCAGCTTGGGTCAATAGTTAAAGGTTTGCAGGGGGGAAGGTGGTGTAAGGGCGTTGGGGACCAACTGACCAGCCACAGATGACCTTTTTCGCAGAGCGAAATAAAAATTGTTAAATAAAAGGCAAATAAAATTTGTGTGTCACACAAATAAGGACGAAAAAGAGCCTCGTCAAAGTCTCGACATGAGCAAAAAACAACCTGTTGTGCATGTGTGTGTGAGTGTGCTTGGTAGGGGTGTGATTTTATGTGTGTGAGAGTATGCGTGTGTGCGAAAGTCTGCGTTTTTGGGGGCGTTAAATGTATTAGTTGGGCTATGCCCTAAAGGCTATTTAAACGTCGTCAATGTGTTTTTCACGCTTCGGTTCAGAAGCTGTTGGGGGAGAAATTACACTAGCCAACATAAAATATTTACTTTATTAAGGTTACTCTATAATATTCATCTAAATTTGATTTTTAACCTTATTTATACAAGTGTTTTACATACCTAAGATTCAGAGCTTCAGCTAGAGCAAAGTAATTATAAGTTAAAATATTATTTTTTGTAATTCATCCTCCAAGCCAATGATTCTTTGTTGACCAGTGTATTTGGATGAACTGCTCAAAATGGGGCATTTATCAGGCTCTCGATGCTCAACAATGTGTTAATGGGATTGCTTATTATGTGTCAATCATGCGTTGTACTCCAGACCAATTTAAGGCCCCCCGACAACATTTTCCTCTTGTCATGTACCATTTATTGGTTGACACATTGTTTTTTAAAGCCTGCTAAATGCCTGATCTGCCTTCAAGGTCCACAAATAGACGCCACAGTCGGACATAAATAGGCATCATTATCTAGGAGATATCGCCCAACTCATTCGTCATTCGTCAAAAGCCAAACAAGAAGGCATCCCCCTAGGAGAACGATGATAAATCACTTTCAATTTTGACAAACGTCCCAAATGTCGCGCAGTCTAGGGGCACATTTCATCGGCCAAACACCCACTTGCAAACAGACAGTCAGATACCAAATTTCCATACCAAGTGGTCGGTTGATTCTGGTCCTGGCCGGGCAATTGGCCAACGCTCTTCCGCCCAACAAATCACTCTCCGGCGGACATTTCCGAGATATCATTGGCCGAAACGAGAGAAAGGCAGAAAAGGGGAAAGCGAAAGTCAATTCGATTAAGGCTTGGACAGACATCAGAAAAGATGGATGGCTGGTAACTGGGTGAATGGTAAATCATAAAAAGAAGAGCCGGTCTTTATATTTGCAGTCAAGTGGGAATATATGGGTTTTTAGGAGTAAAATACTTGCTAAGATCGTTTCATATACTGAGTTTAAAACAGACTTTTATCAATCATCAGTTCGTTTAAAGTCGGAATAACGACTTATGAAAAATCCCCTTCTCCCAGACTTCAAATTAATATTTAACTACCTTTTTAAAAACACTGGAATGATCTACTTATTAGCCATCGTAGTGGCGTTATTTCCTGCAACGTGCCTCGTGTCTTAACTACAATTCAATTTCCGGCACTCGTAGCTGACATCACGTATACGCAGGCTATCACGTATACGACAAGTTGCATCGCCAGCCAGCACTAACAAAATATTTCACCAGCACTTAACGCCCCGAAGCAATCCTCCTTTTTTGCCGATGCTGTTGCAAAAGGCTTAACTTTCAACTTCCGCTTTCAACGACAGGAAAAGCCAGAAAAAATTCAAAACAAAAGTTGAAATTTCAACCCCATTTGAGGGAAAGTGTCTCATCCTGTTGAGAGACTGCTGTGCATAATATTGCATACTCATTGTTCAGACACTTCTCGTTATAAGGACTCCTCTCCACTCTAGGAATTTCCTTATTCTTTTGCCTTAGGTGCACTGCCCTCAAGGTATGCCATCTATCAGCATCCCGACTGAATTCATCAGGGCTCCACCCTCCGGTTGCACTTCTCACCCACTTTAACCTATGTCTGTGATGTGTTTTTTTATCTTATAAATAATTCAATTGCCCTTTTCCTGGCCTTATTCTCTCTGCTGTAAATGAACACAAGACGCCTGAAATGAATTACAATGAACCGACTTACATATGATATGAAATGCATGAGAGGCCCTTTGCATTGTCTAGCTCATGTCTATGTTGGGGATATGCAGTAAATTGCAGTTCTATTGATTTTTTTTAAAATTTTAATAATGGAAAATCCTATGCTCTCGACCATTAGGCAAGCCATTAACCCATGACATCATTTCGTAAAATATGTGTATAAATTTCTATATAAAAACGACAACTAATGGTGCCATTGACGCGCAGCTGTTGGGTTTTTCTGGTATCTAACCTTTAACAAAAAATTGCATTCAAAAGAGTTCGAATATGCGGCATTCGAGTGCAGTCATGAATAATTTCCGTTCATAAATTTCTTGGCAGTGGACAAAATATTTGTATTTCACTAGAAAAATATAAGTAAAGCCGCTTTCGATTTCAATATTTGCTCAACCTTCTGTGAGAGGTATTAAAAACCAGCTTCTTATTTAAAGTACATGAGTTTGATATAGTATATATAATACTTTGATTTTTCATCTTTGGAATTAATAAGTGCAGGTGCTAGACCACAGGAAACGAAGGTTAAACGAAACTTTTGCTGTCTTTTGTGTGACAAATGAAAAGCGTTTAAGATGTTCTTAGAAAAATATAAAGGAAATAAAAATATGCTTGAAGGAATATTTATGAAATCAATTTAAATTCTTGTACAAAAAATGATTAAAAACTTCATATCCCAAAATGTTTTGTTAAGCTATCGTAGCTCATGTTTTATTTCTGAATGCTCATATTTCGCCAACAGCTGTATATCCTTTGCAATATAAGTTTTTTGTAATTTCTCATCCTTGTTATCCTTTCTTACAGTTTCTCATCAACACAAGGCAAAAGCGATAAGCAGAAATGTTTCCTTTGAAGCGACAACTGAGTCAAGGCTGTGCCTTGGCCCTCATCTGCCTGGTGGCTCTCCAGATGCAGCAACCCACCCAGGCGGAGATGTCTCCAGTTCAAGGTGACCATCCAGTGCCATCGTCAACTGAGAAGCAATCCTCTAAAGACTTCTTTGTAGGCACTCCCTTGAGCAATCTATATGATAATCTGCTGCAGCGTGAATACGCCGGACCCGTGGTCTTTCCCAATCATCAGGTGGAACGCAAGGCTCAACGTTCGCCCTCTCTGCGTCTCCGATTTGGACGCAGTGATCCGGATATGCTGAACAATATTGTGGAGAAACGTTGGTTCGGCGATGTCAACCAGAAGCCCATAAGGTCGCCCTCTTTGCGTCTGCGTTTCGGAAGGCGGGATCCCAACTTGCCACAAATGCGAAGGACAGCCTATGATGACTTATTGGAGCGGGAACTCACCATGAATAGCCAGCAGCAGCAGCAGTTGGGTTCGGAGGGGGACTCCGATCTGAGTGCCGACTACGATGGTCTCTATGAACGAGTGGTGCGAAAGCCACAACGTCTTCGCTGGGGACGCAGTGTGCCACAGTTTGAGGCAAATAATGCCGATAATGAACAGGTATTATATTTATGAAAAATGTATTTTTAGATATATATTTTAAATATTTAAAATTAATTTACCAGATTGAACGTTCGCAGTGGTACAACTCGTTGCTGAACTCGGAGAAGATGCGTCGGATGCTCATGGCCCTGCAGCAGTACGAGTCACCTGAAAACCTGGCCAATTATGCCAATGACGAGGAAACCGATGTGGATGTGAATAACGATGCATCCGAGTTCCAGCGAGAGGTCCGTAAACCAATGCGCTTGCGATGGGGACGAAGCACTGGAAAAGCTCCCTCCGAACAGAAGGTAGGAATCAGAATGAAGTAATATATATATTCTTTGTTATAGAACCATTTTCCTTGAAATATAGCCCACTCCGGAGGAAACTTCGTCGGTCCCACCTAAGACACAGAACTAAATTACTTAAAAAAAAACAGCCATGAGAAGCAGCTAAAGGAGAATGCAAGAATTATAAGAAATCGGAAGCGAACTACACGGTCAATATCCAATGCCAAAATAAGATACAGAAAACATATTAAACCCAAGTCAGACAAAGTTTTTGAAAGCATTTTTGAGAGGCGCAGGGAGGCATGGGCTAGAATTACATACCACTAAACATATATCTTATATATAAACACATATAATTAACCATCTATGTGGAATGTTTTGAGTTTGAAAAAGTATAAAAATCAACTTACAAAAGTATTTTTTCATTAACTTTAACAATGCGCAGGTAAAACAAGGTAACTAACTATTTCGACTAGCAGTTAATTAAAATGTCTATTAATTTTCAATAATTTCAGTTAAAAAACTCGAATAGTTTATTTGCTTTAAAGTATGTATTACCTAGAACCCATTTAAATAGTAAAGCCTCCTTATTCCTAATATGCTCAATAAAACAAATTTCAAATTATTCAATTTCCCCAAAAAATCTTTTAGACTCAATGTATATAAAAAAAAATGATGAAACCTTTTGAAAATTAGCGCAAATTTGTTATAATAACGCTAAAAATCTATATAAAAAATATATCGTTCTATTTATGAGAAAACTTCTTGATTTCTAAACTTGTAAGCGAATTTCGATTTAATGTTACGACGATGATGGAAGTGTTTGAAAAACATAGAGGCCCCCGGAAGCTGTATTACTGTAACACTTGTTATATTATGTGTGCTACAAATTATAAATATATGTATAACAACTATTATATTATACGACTATATATATAAATATATATATATACGATGAACATTGTCTATTGAAATTTTATTGATGTATTTTAATAAAAAGGCGAAATCAATTACAAAGCAAAACAAGCATAAAGCTGAATGTTGTTAGAACACTTTTGTATATTTAATTTACACCATCATTGAAATTATTGTTTACCAAACAGAAGTACGATTACGAGAAACCATATCCCGCTGAATGCATTTTTCCGGTAAAAATTGCGAAAACCGTTTCCCGCGCGATATATATATCAGTATATACGCATATATATACCTTTTAATGAATGTACTATCATGAATGTAAATAAAAGAGCAGGAATAATTAAAAGCAAACATATTTTACTCGATCTATGCTACAAATAAAAAACTCAGATGGAGTACAAAATATAAAATTTTTCTTATTTTTCAGATGGGAATGTAGGTAATGAGTATTTTTAATTTCCTTGATTATGTATCCAACAATATTCCAGTAATCAAGCCGACTGTCATTTACATTTCATATTCAAACTTTTTAAATATCTAGCTGCATTGTTTTTCCAACTTTTCCACAAGGTTTTACCTGCCCAAAGCTCACCGATCCACTAAAACTGCTAACAATTACGAACTTGGGCGCCCTCAAACGGCGCCTTCAAACTGTTACCCATAATGGGATTAAGCTACAAATGTGAGAAAATTAAACCGAAACCAAACAAGAAACAAAAACTCTGATGCTGATGAGAACAGCAGCTGGGAATGGGCCAGGAGAATTATCATGGCCAAAGACAAACAAAACACCAGGAGCCAAGGACATTTGGCCTCCCACCTGTTGTGTGATGACAGCCATTAACTCCATTACCACATCCACGAGCGGCGCCCTTTACCTCATTGTTGATGTTTGCTTTGATAATTAACTTTTCAACTTCTAATGTACCGGAATGTGTGTTGCCTGAAATTGTTCTGCTCCCTACATAAAACATATTATTTCGGTTAATTGCATGCAACATTGAAAATTCAACACGAAAATGCACTTTACGGGGATACCACTCTTGTGGGTATTAAATGGGTTAGCTTGTGTTTAATTTTTGTTGTTCATTTAAAATGCAAGCCCTCCAAATATTTAAAAAGTTACAGGTAATAAAAATAATTTTTTAATATAAACTTTTTTCTGCGAAAAACTATAAACTATTAACGTACCATGGTAATTTTCACGGAAATTTAAAAAGTTTTTGCTAATAATAATGAAGTTAAATTTATACACATTTTAGGTATTTATACATCAATTAAATTCATCCTCGAAAAGGCTAAGAAAGGCCACTTTCTAATTTACATTAAAGAAATATCAATTTTGAATCGAAAACTTTCTTTCCTGTTTCATTTGCTAATGTCAAAAGTTTTGTGGAAACGTTTTTGAATGATCCATCTTGCTGATGTTGTTGTCTCGAAAAAATACAGACTGTAATCAGTATGGTGCCCAACGTTACTTAGTACTTGGCAAATATTTATGCAAATAATATGCAATTACTCACACACACGAACGCAAGCGGCGCCTAAAAGCGCTCTG